GGGATATTGGTCTATAGTTTTCCTTTTGAGTGATGTCTTTGCCTGGTTTTGGTATCAAGGTTATGCTTGCTTCATAAAATGAATTTGGGAGGATTACAACCTTTTCTATGTTTTAGAATAGTTTGAGTAGGATTGGTGTCAGTTCTTTGAACGTTTGGTAGAATTCTCCAGTGAAACTCTCTGGGCCAGGACTTTTTTTTGTTGGTAATTTTTCTGTGACCTGTTCAATTTCTTCTTTTGTTATGGGTCTAGTCAACTTTTCCATCTAAGTGTGTGTTAGTTTAGGTAAGTAGTGTGTTTGTAGAAATCTGTCCATTTCTTCTAGATTTTCAAATTTTTGGAGTGTAGTTCTTCATAGTATCCTGATGTTATCCTTTTTATTTCATTTGGTTCTGTTCTGATGTCACCCATTTCATTTCTTATCTGTGTTATTTGTATTCCCTCCCTCTTTCCTTTGTTAAATTTACCAGTGGTTTGTCAATTTTTTTTAATCTTTTCAAAAAAACAACTTTTGGTTTTGTTAATTTTTTCAATTGTCTTTCTGTTTTTCTGTTTCATTGATTTCTGCTCAAATGTTTATTTGGTGACTGTAGGCTTTTCTTGCTGTTCTTTTTCTAATTGTTGGAGATGTTTGTTTAAAGTGTTGGTTGTGACTCTTTGTTTTTTGATGTGTGCATTTATTGCTATAAATTGGTCTCTGATCACTGCTTTTGCTTTGTCCCAAAGATTTTGATATGTTGTGTTTTCATTCTCGTTTTATTTAAGAAATTTTTGAATTTCAATTTTTATTTCTTCTTTCACCCAGTCTTCCCATTTGTTTTCTCTTTTTCTGTTGATCTTCCTATTGTTGATTTCTAATTTGATAGCACTGTGATCTGAGGAGGTGCTTTGAAGTATTTCAGTGTTTTTGAATTTATTAAGGCTTGCTTTGTGGTCTAATGTATGGTCTATCCTGGAGAATGTTCCATGTGCTGGAGAAGAATGTATATTGTGCTGCTGTTG